CTCGGCCGCTGCCCCCGCCACGGGACAGTGCCCGGCCCCGGCCGGACCCCCGCCCCGGGGCAGCTCCCGCCCCGTCAACTGACCGATCAACAACGACACCACCGCCACCGACCCCTCCACCTTTCTGTCTCACCGACCGCGGGTGCTGCAGCACGTAAATGGGGCCTGCTAAACGCGGGCAGCGAGCTGTCAGCTGCAGCCCTAACCCTCCTACCACTTAATATAGTCGCTAAATACTGTATTTTTGCTGTGAAGAGTCCCAGACGCGCTGCCTTGGCAGACAGCGGCGTTCAGAGGGAGCAGCTGGGCACGGAGGCCCGGCAACGCATCCCTGGGTGCTGTGCAGCACCTGGAAAGCGAGAACCAACCGAAAACGTTGACTTCACTTAACAGGGTCTTTCTGGGTTAAAAATGCAATTACTCACTGCTGCAGTCAGCTTAACAACCAACTTAATTGCCGGCTTCAGCTTAATATTCAGCTGTGTTAAGCTGGGGTTTAAGGAGCCCTAACGAACAAGGCTGTTAATTAACCGAGCGGTGACACCAGCAGCTCCTTCTAACTCACCTACCCGGGATCCCTTGCTCAGGGCACACACCTGACACCACAGCCTCCTGGGAATTTGCTCTCGCCACCTCACACATACCTGGCTTTTTGAGACCTAAGTTAGCCGTTATTTAAGTCCTACACTCTCTGGCAAGAGAGTGTCTTATTCCCTCTTTCACCTTGTTGCAGCTACTGAGTAGACATTCCTGGGACATGGAGTCACACACACCTAAGGGGCACAATAGGAGCACAATCTCCATGCGAATGAACACCAGACATATGTGTTTGTTAAGGAAACATCTAATCATTGGCAGTATCAAAAATAAAAGAACCCTAGAAGTGGTAAGACAGCACTTGGTTTCAGTCTAGTCCACTGAATTTCAATTTCCTCACAAACCTAACATAGACTCATTTCTTCCATAATTAGATCTGGAATGATTACAAGCTTCGGTGGAATCCAGCAGACTACGGAGGTGCTGAATTCATCCGAGTACCATCTGGCCAGATCTGGAAGCCAGATATTGTTTTATATAACAAGTAAGACTCTTGCATATTTATCTTCTTAACTCGGGAAGAAGGGGGGTGATGTTACTAGCTTAAAAAAAAAACCACAAAAAACCAAAACAAAACAGCAACAGATTGACTGAATTGACTGAAAAGGCCTGCTTTTCAACACACCAGTGTCCCACATCTCCCTGCTACTGTACTCACCTCGGTGCCATCTACAGCATCACTGGGCAGGAGCCACCTCCCAACCTGGAGCTGCATGTGGGCTGCCCCAAGCAAACTTTGCTTTTTCACTTCGCAAGTCCCCGCTTACATACTATTGTTTTTACCACCTTCTACAAGGGAGGCGGCAGGAAATTCCCTTAGACTGCAGAGTTCTTCTCTGCAAGCCAGACCTCTAACTGAAAAAAACCTGCAAATTATAGCTTTTTAGCAGTTAAACTGTCAATTTGACACCTTTTACAGTAACAGTAGTGACACATAAAAGCCACAGGCAAAGTTTACTTCAGCTGTCAGTTTCTGAGGCTGTGAGGAGCCAAACTAACTAAATGGATCCCTCTGCTGGTAGGGAAGCAGTTCTCAGTGAAACGGAATTAGCTACACAGAGCCAAAACTTAGGTCTATGGAACAACAGTTCCGATGCTCCTTTTCTAATGTGGCCTTAAAACTTTAAATTACCTTTGTAGTTTTACTTTTCCATATAAACAACTGAAATTGTCACGTGGATCTTATATATCTTTTATACTTAAAAAAACCCTCACCAAATACACTCCTTATGCAAAGATGCATAACCCCAACCCTAACCCCTCTTTCCATAGTCACTACCTGCACTGTCCACAGAAGAGGTGGGAATACCGGTACTGTGGGAATCCTCGTTATCAGCCCTTGGGTTCTGATGTGCTTCATCTAGAATAGAATAAAACAGTTCAGTTGGAAGGGACCTACAATGACCATCTAGTCAGACTGCCATTTGCCATCGCCTATTTGCTGTTTTGAATATTGACTGCACTGAGCCATGGTATTATCAGGGAGAATATTTCCTTTCAAATCCTCCATAAGTAAATTTATGCATCTGTTTATTTCAGTTTAACTATGCAAATTTATGACAGCCGCTGACTCAGTCCTGCACATGCAATTCAGCTCTTTATCAACACGTAATTGCTGACTTTCCCAAAACAGACTGAGGAGTTAATATATACGATCTGAATGTATGAAACTACCTGGAGTAGTTGCATTCTAATTTTTGTTATTTTTATTTGCTTTACAGTGCAGTTGGGGATTTCCAGGTTGATGACAAGACAAAGGCCCTATTAAAATACACGGGGGACGTGACCTGGATACCTCCAGCTATATTTAAAAGCTCATGTAAAATAGATGTAACCTACTTCCCATTTGACTATCAGAACTGCACCATGAAGTTTGGTTCCTGGTCTTACGATAAAGCCAAAATTGACTTAGTTTTAATTGGCTCTACAATGAACCTGAAAGATTACTGGGAGAGTGGAGAATGGGCTATTATTAAAGCTCCTGGGTATAAACATGACATCAAATACAACTGCTGTGAAGAGATATATCCAGACATCACATATTCTCTTTACATCAGGCGTTTACCTTTATTTTACACTATCAATATGATTATTCCTTGTCTGCTGATTTCTTTTCTGACTGTATTAGTTTTCTATTTGCCTTCGGACTGTGGTGAGAAGGTGACACTCTGCATATCAGTCCTTCTATCTTTAACGGTGTTCCTCCTTGTTATCACAGAAACCATACCTTCTACTTCCCTGGTAATTCCACTTATTGGGGAATACCTCCTTTTCACCATGATATTTGTAACTCTATCTATTGTCATTACGGTATTTGTACTTAACGTGCACTACAGAACACCCAAGACACACACAATGCCTGTGTGGGTGAGAACCATTTTCTTGAACTTACTTCCCAGGATCATGTTTATGACAAGGCCCGCCAGCGATGAAGAGAATAATCAGAAGCCAAAACCAATTTTCACTTCTGAGTTTTCAAACTTAAATTGCTTCAACAGTTCTGAAGCCAAATGCTGCAAAGATGGCTTTGTATGTCAAGATATGGCATGCAGCTGTTGTCAGTATCAACGAATGAAGTTCTCAGATTTCAGTGGCAATCTCACAAGAAGTTCAAGCTCTGAGTCTGTAGATCCTCTGTTTTCATTTTCAGTTCTGTCACCAGAAATGAGAGATGCTATTGAAAGTGTTAAATACATTGCAGAAAATATGAAAATGCAGAATGAAGCAAAAGAGGTAAGAACATCTTTTACTGTTACTCAAACTGCAGACACCATGTGTCATTGGCGTGTTTTGTAAGAAAGAGACATCTCAAAAAAACCCACCCAAACCCCCCAAAAATAAAGAAAACACGGACAACAGAGGCCGTTATTTTATACAAGTAAATTACCCAAGCTGTATTACAAATATGTGCAATTTTGAATGCAGGTAATTTTGGAGAGCAGCTCTGCTGCACATTCTCTTTATTGACAACACACACACTCAGTGAAGCCTGTTAAGGTAGGCACTGCTAGGGAAACGTACCTGAGTATCCATCCTACAAGATCTGGAGTGAGGCTATCCCACTCCATAATAATGGAATTTGCTGACACTATGCCTTTAGAAAGTTACATTCTCTCTCCCACAGCTTACTGTCAATAACAAAGAACGTAAGAATGAATGTCCTTCACAGCGATGATACTGCTTATTCTGCTACTGCAGAGTAAAGTGCTGGAGCTAAATGAGACAACTGTTGCACGACGGGGTCCATCATCTTTCGTAAAACTGCATCTTGATGCAATAAAAACCAATTTCTATCATGTTCCTCAAACATATTAAGAGCAATAGCCACACCTCCACAATTGTCACCGAATTTAAATCCTCTGAGTATGGCACTTGAAGTTAGAATGAAGTTATTGTTTATGCTGAAATCAGAACTTTATTTAGAATTAGTTGGTATAGAAAATCTGGGGTTGTTTTGTTTTTTTTAAGTCTGCCATAACAAGCAAGCTGTAAGCTAAAAAGTACAGAATTTCAAAAACAACAAATGCATTATTCATTTATTAGCCTTCCTGAAGAAAAATGAAGTTAAAATTTAAATTGTAATATCAAGAGTAACTAAAAAGATCACCTAATGTAGTTATTATTAATATATAATGTACATAATACTTCAGTGTCAATCTTGTTATCATACCCACTGTAAAAAAAAAATAGAAAAAAAAATATCAGTTTTTTGGAAACTTGGTTGCCTTTCTACATGGAAGGTAAGGAGATGAATTTTACATCATGCATGAGAACAACCAAATTTCAGTACTACATAAGAAACGTACCAAATAATTATATACCAATTAATTAATTATATACCAATTAGTCTTCTTACATACTGCCTAAAGGCCAGTAGAAGCAGTCTGTTTTAGTAAAGTTTTCTGGACAAACCTGATCACCTAAGAACATAAAGCTTTTCACTTTCATTTTTGGCATACAGCAGAGTTGTTGTGTCTTGTGATGTCCAGAGTCTCAGTGAACAACTTTTTGTATTTGAAGAAGTAGCTTTTGGCTTTGCCACAAATAGCATATTCAAATAAAGCTTCTTCCAGATGAATTCATTTGTCAATGAAAAAAGAAATATATAAGTTGTGCATATATGAAAGACATCTACATATGGAAAAAAAACTGTTCTTCCTATATAAAATGGTACTAATTGCTAATCCAAGTTACTCATCTAATAAACATGCCTACTTGCTATTCAATTTATTTTTCAGATTCAGGATGACTGGAAATACGTTGCCATGGTAATCGACCGTATTTTTCTATGGGTTTTCATCCTGGTATGTATTCTAGGAACAGCAGGATTGTTTTTACAACCTTTGATGGCTGGAGATGAAACGTAAAGATTAAAGAGTATGCTGCGAAATCAAATAAAACTTTTTTTCCAACCAACTCTGCACACCCACCCCAGCACCTGCTGTCTCTTCTGTGTATAGTAGAATAACAATCTCTCTTGGGCTCAACTTTGCTTGACCAAGGCAGCTTTGTTAAAAACGTGAAAACATGAAAAAAAAAGATTTTGAACCTTTATGACAGCTAATCTCAAAGTAATATGAGCTATGCTTGACAGCTACTTTTTGCAATGACTGGAAAAGATGTAGGTAGTACATTGAACTTTATAGGAATGGTTTAAGAAGGGGTTGATAAAGAAACTGAAGATTATACAAATATTCAGAAAGTCAAGACAGGCTGAATGCTTTGGGCTACTAGATTTGTTTCCACAAGTCTGGTGCCAAGTCTCTTCAGATCATGACAGGATCTTCTGGGAGTAATTTCATACCGAGCTCAATGAATGCCCTCATGCGGACGAAATGGTTTCGGAAGCATACCTACCAAATTACTAGAATGCAGACATTGCCACCTGGTGTATAAACTGACTCCAACAAGGACTTGGGAGGAAAGGACCATGGGCAGGTTTATTACAAAAGGAAAACAATAGGTAGATAAATGATGATGGTAATAAAGCAACCATAATGTAAACTCTGTGCATCCCAATATTTCAATGAATGAGAAGACTGTCAGAAAAAACAAGCTATTCAAACATAATGTTTAAAACTGCATAAGACACACACTAAGATGCAGTCTGCAGGTTATGCAAAAGATCAAAATACTTTGATAGGATAGTTTGGATACAGAAGCATACTGTAACAGCAAAGTGTTCTATGACAGGGGAAGGCAGATAGATACAAAATAGTTCTGTCAAGTATGCTAAAATTGCTTCTTAGGCATACTTTTTTTTTTTTTTTTTAAACAGTAACTGCAGATAATTTAAGAGCATGAATAAAGAATTCAACAAAATACTGTAATGAGAAATATTTTGTAAAAATATGAACTGTTCTCTCTGTACCAAAGAGGAAACTTTTTGGAAATACAGTGTATCAAGTGATGTAACATTTATGAAAATAAAGAGAATCAAGCTGTTGAAAATTGTGCGCTTTTTTTCCATTTATTTTGACCGAGTGACAAAAACCTATATAAGGTAGCATTAGCTACAGTTCAACACATTCAGAAACAAGTTACATAAGAAAGGTCCATGCTTCTGCGTCTATTAAAATTACTTTGTTTCAGACACAGCTGATGATAAGCTGAAGACCCCAAGGATTCTACCGTCAGCTATCTTATCTGTATTTATCATAATCAGATCGTAGAAATGACTAAAAGAAATTCATGCATTAGCAAAAATTGGGAGTTGCTAGTACAAGAACTGGGACTCCGTTGGCCAATATGCTGCCAATCACCTTATGACGGACAGTCTACAGACATCATTTAACTAGGGGAAAGAGATGAGGTGGGGAGTTAAAAAAAATTATATATATAGCTAATCTATAGTTTTAGTTACTTTGCTTTCTGCTCAGAAAAGAGTAAACTTCAGTAACTCAAATCCAATGAGGATTATAAAAAGAAATTTTGTATTTGAAGAGGAAATAAGATACTAAAGTATTTCTGCAGCTTCCATACAGAGAAAGTCACTGAAGCATTGTTAAATCTTAGTAATGCTGAGAAAGTTAAAATTATGATAGGAATGAATTAAATCAGATAATCTTTGCAAATTAATCTTTAAAATTAATTATGATGGGAATAGAGGAAATATGGATATCCAATGCCAGATGTAATTATATAACTGAAGAGGAAGAGTGACTTCCTTCACAATCAGAATTATTTATAAATTGGTATTAAAAAAAGAAGAGGCTTGCCTGGCATCATTTCCCTGCCTGTGAGCCTTAAAAAGCTACATAAAAACCAAGAATGTCCTATAGGTGAAAATAGTTTCAAATAAGCAACCAGTATTATAACCAGTACAGTGCCAAACAGTGCTATTCTAAAGGAGATACAAGGGAGGGGGAAATATGTATCTGTTTTCCAAATTCACAACCACTATAAAAACTTAACATTATCAAAGATACCACAATTTACATTAAACTTCTCACCAAAAAATGTAATTATTTAAGCAAATAAAAACTTTCCAAGACCTGCTTTAGCTTGGCATTACTGTATTAGCCCTGCAGGATGCAACTATATTATGAAGTATATTGACAAAACTTTGGTGTAAGAAAACCCCCACCTATTTTAGAGTCTCTACCAGAAATAGAGCTTTTAGGAAAGGTGACATTGGAATGAATGTAAAGAATTTAAAATCAGTACTTAAATAATATGTTTTAATGGAATAATTAAAAAGTTGCAAGCTAGTTTTTAACAGAAAAAAAGAAAGTATGGAAAGCTGTAAGTCCTCCCTGCTTAGAGTTACATATGGTTCCAGAAGTGAGAGAACCTATTAAAGGTAGCTTTCTAAGTTTGGTTTAATAAACGTGTGAAAACTTAATCATCTGTATTTACACAGACGTATATATCTGTATATACACAGCATAATAATTTTCAACCCACTTCCTTCAGAAAGGCATTCCCCAAATTCCTACCTCTGCTTAAAAACGTAATTCCGAGAAACAAACAAAGGCAGGGAATGATTAACATGTTTGAAACTAACATACTGTGTCAAATTCTTCATCAAGAATAAAGAAAGCTGAATGTTCTGGTCCGTTAGAATACACGTGCAACTTGGGAACTCATTTAATTGTCTTCGCCTTCCTTTCCATAGCTGATACAGAGATATTGATATACACGATATACATGTATCCTGTAGGCATTTTAAGGAATTAAGAAGGTCATAAATTTAGCAGCAAATTACACTGAAAATATATAAAGTCAAAACATAGCCAAATTGCTATTTTTACTTATAGGTTGAATATACAGGAAGTTTAACTGGTACTTTTATTATTATTTTAAATTTGCTCTGTAGAAACTTTATACTTCTACAACACGTCCAAGAGAGCTGATAAAAATTCTCCTTTGCATACTATAGCAAATTGAAATAAGCAACTCTACTGAGTAAATATCTGCAAATATTTAATAGTCAATGTAATAATTTACATAGTAATTTAATAATTGGACTACAGTGATCATCATTAAAAAAATTTAAATCTTTCAATTTCACAGTAGATGTCAGTGTATGCTTTTTTGACATATCATACATGCAAGTGCTTGAGAAGGTCATTTTAATTCTGACCTGATTTAGAAGTAACTTAGTAGACTGGCAATAAGCAAACTGACTTCTATGTGTCCTAGGGATGCCATGCTTTAATTTAACATTATGTTCTGTTTTTTTTATTTTTTTTACTATATCAGAAACATGCCTACAAAGAACGTGCATGGAAATAGAGCTACTGCAAAACTCTTTAGAGCCATATTAGCAGCAGACAGATCCAAAAATATTTTATGCATTTGTACTGCCTATATGTGTAGGTACTATTATACTTGCCCATTTATGAATAACAGGAATAAATAACACAAGTGATCCAATTATTGAAACCAGAAGAAAAGCCCATAAAAACATTCGATCAAGCACCTGAGCAATAAATTTCCAGTCTTCAACAACCTAAAAAAACAAAGAGCATAAGAGTTGGTGAGTATGTGAGAGAACAGGTAAAAATACAGTACCAAACACTGCAATTCTTAAGCACTTTACAGTATAATTTTTTCCAGTCAGGTCTGTTTGGTAACCCCCTTTTTATAATTACACTATGACGTAGAACAGGAATTAACTTCCCTCCATGAAGACTAGTAAGCTATTTAGACCAACACTAGATTTTAATGCAGAAACTATCCCTGACAAGCACTGAACATCCTCAGCTACAGAGAGATGAAATTGGTATGCAATTTTCTAACATACTGCAGCATTTAGGATTCATGCCACAGCCTCATCATAAAGAGGAATTCCTGGACAGGAGCGAGAAGCAAAATCTGTGAGGAAAAGAAACCAAACCAAACCAAAGCCAAACAAACCACAAACACAAAACCAAAACCACCCAAGAAAAAGAATTAACAGTAGACAGCAGCTGTTGTGTTACATACAAGATCTGAAAGCAGTGAAGTTACTGCCGCACAGAGTTACACACTAGGGAGAATAGTCACAGTACTTTCGGGACTATTTTCCTTGTCAATAGGATTATTCGTATCTATACAAAGTTTTGCATGTATAGCAGATATAGCTGTGTGAGCAAATTAAAATCCTGCCAAAAAATTGTCTTGGATTTGAGCTGGAGCTATTCACATTTCCCAAGCTGACTGCTTCCTAAGAGGCAAGGCTACAAGAGCACTAGCTGTGTAGTTTTTATTAAAAACTTTTGCAATTAAAGCTTGCATCCTTGGAGCCCAAATAACAAAACACCAGTGAATGCCCAGTCAGCTATATATTAATTCCTGAGGTTTAGAGTAACAACAACATTACACCTGAAAAACAAAATACTTATCACCTCTCTTGTCACTCACAGGCAGACTAAGTTCACTAAGAGAAAGAAAACCAACCTTTAATTTACAGGAAATTATGTATTTAATAGCAAACTATTCTACTTGTATTGATTATACAATGCAGGGGTATTAGATGCTGTTTTAACAGTACAGTAGATACATTTATTCAAAATCTAGGCTGCACCCCTTGTGATAATGTCAGAGTCAAGTCCTGAGAAGGTACATTAGAGATGTTAGCTATCTCCTCGGCTAGCATCTGAGAACGTGCTCTCAGCAACCAGTAACTCTTGAAGACAGTAATTTCTGTAAAAATTGAAACAATCTCTGGCCTTGCCATCAGAAAGCATCATGAGACCATGCAGTAAACTTCTATATTTCTATATTAGCCTGAAAATAGCATTTAAGTCTCTGATGTTCCAATGGTGCTAGTTTAAAAAGCATGGAAAGAAAACAGATTCAGAATGATCTTACCCATATGGTGTAAATATCTATTAAGGATAGTTCAGAGTTTAAATGTACAAACCAAAAAAAAAGCCTTTGA